ATCACCACCTCGACCGCTTCTTGTGATCACTGCCATTGCATGCCAGGTATTGTTCCCACCCTTCCGGTTTATTACCGTATCACTAGGTAGAGCTCCTTAGGGCGAGTATTCAAATATTGAGAAATCTGGCCAAGTTGAACCTCTAAGATTCAGATTGAAGTATTGTGGGATGCCAACTGGGCATCAGAGTCGGCGTTCTTTTTCATCATTTGTTCAAACATCATCTCGATCCTTCCCATCTCATTGTTTGACGAGCTAGGACCTTGGGATGGAAATGGAGGTGGGTTGGTTGGTTGTTGATACATCGGAGGCCTTTGAAAGCCTTGCCCCAGATTCCCTTGATTGCCATTATTCCAACCCCCTTGGTTGTTCCCCAGTTGTTGTTGTTGCCACCCCAGTTGCCCCGGTTGTTCTGGTTATTCTGGTTGCCCCAGTTCTAATTGTTGTTCCCCCAATTGCCATTTCCTTGTTGGTTTTGATTCCCCCAATTTCCTTGGATCTCCACTGTTGTTGTTGGTTAGGAGCATTGCCCCTTTGTCCTTGGTAATTGTTCACGTACTGGACTTCTTCACTTTGCTCATCATACCCATCATCTTGGTTGAAACCACTACTACCCTGCTCATATTGATCCGGATTTCCTTGACTTTGTTGACCTCTTTGTCGCCTCTTGTTGACCAACATGTTTACACCTTCCATAGCATTTACTTGTCTCGGCGCTTGAACTTGCTGCAATTGAGCTTTTGCCAACTGGTTCATTGTTGTAGTTAACTCTGCTATTGCCTGGCAATGGTCGTGGAGCTCTTTGTGCATGTGAATGACTGTGGGATCACCCTGTGGCACATTAGCTCGACTTTGCCAAGCTGAGGAAGTATCTTCCATCTCATCAAATATCTCACACGCCTCGGCATAAGGTGTGTTCATAAAATTTCCCCCTGCTAGCTGGTTCACTACACACTGATTGGTCGTGTTAATGCCACGATAGAATGTTTGCTAGATCATTGCTTCGGTCATGTCATTGTTCAAACATTCTTTCACCATAGTCTGATACCTCTGCCAGATCTCATGAAGCGGTTCATTAGGTTCCTGTTTGAAGGCCAAGATCTCATCTCTCAATGTCACCATATGCCCCGGCGAGAAAAACTTAGCTATAAAATTGTCAGCCAACTCATCCCACACAGTGATGGAATGGTTGGGAAGTCTTTCGAGCCAGTCCAAAGCTTTCCCTCTAAGTGAAAAAGGGAACAATCTCAATCGCAATGCATCCTCCGACACATTTGTCTGTTTGCTTCCCCAACATGTATCCACAAATATTTATATGCATTTTGGTGGGGAGCGCCTGTGACGTACCCTCTTTGCTCCAATAAAGTCAGCATCACATTTGTAATTTGGAAATTGCCCGCCCGGATCCAGGTTGGGACAATTGCACTTGCGTAACCTTCATTTGGAAGCACCTGAGGAGCCACTGGCAGAGGAACTGGGGGAGGTCTGGAATGTTATCATTGGCCTAGCGGCCTCTTCTTTGAGCTTGAGGTACTAGAGGGACCTCATCTTCAGCATTATCATCTACCTCCTCCCCCGGAACATTTCCAATAGGATCATTGTTTTCCATGTTGTACCTGAATCGATTAACTCACACAAATTAGTAAAACAGAAGGAAAGAAAAACAAGACACAAAACTAGTTAGATAGATAGCCAAAACCGGTTAGCTCCGGCAACGGCGCCAAAAAGTGATCGGTTCCAACCCTATACCACTATAGAGTGGAAAGAGCGGTCGATGCAGCTTTTACCCGAGGGTCGAGATCGATTTTCACGGAGAGCTAATATTGGTTTGGAATTGGGTTTCTATCTAATCTAGCTATGTGCGATGTTCTTAATTGCACTTCCAATCATTCTTTATTTTGGTTACTATTCTACTTTTAACACTAATGAAGAATGAAAATAAGCTAAGTACGATATTTTTGCAAGGTTTTTCTTAGTTGGTAAAAAGGCACTAGGGAAGTGACTTACACCTAGGTGAGTATCTAACGGGGTCTAAAACTTAGGGAGAACTCGTTATAATTGGGATCATGATATAACCATTGCACATAATTACTCACTCTATACCTCTCAGTAGTTTTAGTGACTTTGCCCTAATTGGCTTTCTCAAGCCCAATTGGGTGTTCAAACAATGCAAGCAAATTTGGTTCAAGTCGGGTATTACTATCTCTAGGTTTAACTCTTTAATTGGGGCTATCAATCTCTTGAATGCACCCCAATTCCTTGTTAGCCTGAATAACCTAGACTTAGTCTCTCTTTCTCAAGAAGAGCCTAAGTCAAAAAGGCATAAATCAGTATTTGCAACCACCAATTCAACAATTAAAGCATGAATCAAGCTAAATATCATTTACCCATAAATATTTAAGCCCTAAAATTAAAGACCCATTAAATACCCACACTAGGGTTGAGTCACAACCCTAGCTAATGGGTTTAGCTACTCATAATCAAGGAAGAAATTAAAGATTTAGATGAAATATAACCTATAAGAAGTAATTACAAGAGTAAAATGTAAAATTAATGGTTAACAAAGCTCTAAAATTACTCAAAAGAGCAAAAAGCTGCTGTTCACGTGTTCCTCTCACAACAGATGCCCTAAAAATCTGAAAAAGAACTATTTATACACAGCTAAATTTTTCGAACAAAATTGCCCCTACGGAGATTCCACTGACAGCGGAAAACTGGTCGCCTCAGCGCTTGGACTTCCGCGGCGGCGCAAAAGCAAGCGCGGACCGCAGTTCTTCTCTTCTGAGCTGGATCTGGATTTGATTCCGCTGGGAGCGAAAAAGCCACCGCCTCAGCTCTATCTTCAACCGCGGGCGCAAAATATGTTCGCGGACCGCGCTTTTAGATTTGAGCTCCAAACTATAGTTCTCTGATTCTTAATTCCGCTGAGGGCGAGAATTGGACCGCGGCCGCGTCAGATGATTCCGCTGCCGCGCAATTTCACCGCGGGCAGCGGTGACTGTTAAGCCCAAAAATGACTCTCTGAACCTTACTACCGCTGAGAGCGTAGTTAAGACCGCCCCAGCGGTGGACCCTCCGCGTCCGCTCTATTTCTTTGTTGTCAGTGCCTTTGACTCAGCTTTGAACTTGTGCAAGTTTCTCTCCTTTATGAGCTGGTTATGACTTTCTTGCCTCTTTTTGACCAAACACTATAAACAAGCACAATAAGTTGGCTTTCGGAAATACTTGTACACACTTTTAATCCAAAACCTAAGCAAAAAAGAACATAAAATAGGCTAGAATCCCTAGTTACCAATAACCATGATGGAAAACGGACGAGACCATGATCTCCAGAAGATTTAAGGTATAGTAGATTTTGGCAACCAAGGTGTCAAGTCTATCCAGATACATACTTGGGGAATCCCTTTCGGTTACTCTTGTTTTGGATACGATGAATGATTCCGATCGTTATTTTTTTGGCTCTCCTCCCTTTAGCATCCGTGCTTCTAAGTATCGAACTATTCTTGTTACGTATCATGCACAAACGAGCCACGTTTTAAGACGGGATTTTACCAATACAATCTCTTTTTTCTAAGTTTCTTTCTTTTGCTAACTCATATTCGATATTTATATCAAATATATCTTTAATTTATTTATTAAGATTAAATTATTTAGTATGTATACATCTGATGCTATTAATTATTTACTTTCAACAAACCTACGAAAGAAAGAAGAGACTCGAAGTTGAAAACTTTGGATCAAGAGATAACATTACAATGCTTGATGTTTTATTTAAAATGTATTTTTTCCAATCTTTTTAAATTTGTAAAAATATATTCTTGAATTCCTAAAAGATTTAAAATAATTCAGTCAGGATCTTCAAAAACACTTTTTTTTTTTGTTGCAAAAAGTGTAAAGCAATTATTATTATTATTTTTTTTACAAAAACTTAAAATTGGATTTAATTTTCACAAACTCTAAAACAAATGCCACTTTAGAGTACAAGAGGTAAACATTCAATTTTTTAAGTTTTAAATTTATTCTTTGATTTCATGAAATTTTAAATTTAGACATTACATAAAATTTCACAACTTATAATTTTTAATAGTTGCAGGATATTTAAATATATGACTTTCGAATAATAATACTGCCAAATAAACTAAAACTGAAAGCAACAAATAATTAGAATATTTACACAATAGCATGTCAAAACTAGTGTTTTTTCTGTGCCTATATACATAAATTATATAGGATAATATATAGTATACATGAAATAAACATCTATTTTAATATGGGTAATCCGCCCATCACCCACATATACAGGGAGCAAAACTATGCAGCACATTATCTAGCTCCACAAAGTTCGTCTACTCATGCTCAGGACTATACAACTACCTTCACTCAGCCACTAAACTTTTTGCTACCTCAATTACTAGCGGATCAACAAGGCACTGTCTACACGCGATTAGTCAAACCCTCCAGTACAACGAACTTGTTCTACCGCCACCCCATTTTGGAAAATAACCAACCAGTGGGTCAATATTTTGAAAACTCCTTTTGTAATAGTGTGCAACTAGCTACTTGTAATGTTACTACTTAATTAATACAAGTTCTTTGGACTACCAAAAAAAAAAAAAAAACTAAACGTGTAGGTCGCTTTTAGAATATGCGTTGTACTTCGTCACTTTATCTTCTGCGCTCAACAGCTGCAGCAACAACATCAAATAAACGGGGCCATGGCAGTTCCAACTATAACCTCTCTCTCAAAATTGCCCCTTTTTTCCCAACCAAAACGAACCCAATTCAGCTCACAAACTGCTCCTTCCAAATTTCTCCTCTCCTTAAAGCAAAGGTCTCTACTTACAGTTCCCAGTTACAGCAGCTCATCTCAGAACTTGAAAAATGCTGTCACTATTTTGGGGGTTACTGGAATTGCTTTAGCCACACTAATGGTGGGACCTGCCACTGCCACTGCTTCGGAATTAGCTATAATGGGTTCTTCTTTCCAATTCAATGAACCCTCTAATGCTCTCTCCTTACCCACCTGGGCTATTCATGTTTCCAGCGTTGTTGAATGGTATTTACTCTGCAATACACTGTGTTTTTAATCCTTTTTTTTCTTCAATTTATTTAGCATAAGCTATAAATAAAGACTTTTGACATATGAGTTAAGTTAGGTAAAAATTTACCAACAACCAATGTTTACACCAAATTTTATCATGGTTAAGTCATAAATTAAAGTCAGAATATATATTACTGTAGTTAACTACGGTTTAGTGATAAGAGTGTAAGCAAAAACATGTCTATGTAGTGTACACATTAGTGGAGGTAAGCTTTTACCAGTTAAAAATATATAAAATATCGAAAAAGTACCTTTGCACTAAGCAGTTTGTTAGGACCGGAAATACAGATAGTGCGGAATTTAGCCAAACAACGTTACAATAACAATAACAAAGGCAGTACTAGTTGATAATAACGACAATTAAAACATATAAAGAAGGTACAAATTTAACGCAATTCCGTCAAGGTGACCTACGTCCGCAAACGACCGCAAGCGGAGAGGAGCAATTTTACCACAAGAGTATAATCTCACAAAATCACTTCAAAGAAAGGGTTCACATAAGTGTTTTCCAATACTCATTCTCTTATACTCTACAATAAATAAGGAGAAAGAAAGACAAAAGAATAAAAGGCTCTTGAATTGATGTGTTTTGAAAAGGAAGAATTGATCTCTTTTTAACGGAGAAAAGAACGTCGGCTCCAAGTTTGGTACAGGAGGAGATATTATTCCCCTCCGATCAAATTCTTTCTTTGGCTTCAAGATTGTAAAATAGGCATATGCCTATACAAATAAAATGGATCCCACAAAGATAGCCAAAAGATGCGGCCACATTACGAATCTCCACATTGGCCTTGTTTTGGCTAATAAAGTGGATTTGGTCCACCCTCTCTGCAAAAACCCTTAGTGGGTTGAATCATTCTTCATAAATGTCAATCAAATTCAAGCAGAGCTTGAACTTGCCAACTGGAAGAGGTTTTGTGAACATGTCAACATGATTGTCTCTAGTTGATCCTGTGAACAGAGACCTTTCTATCAGCAATGATTTCTCGGATGAAGTGATACTTGATATCAATCTGTTTCGTCCTCTCATGATACATCTGATCTTTAGTCAAATGAATGACACATTGACTATCACAGAAAATGATAATACTACCTTGATGTAAACTGAGTTCAGCAAATAGACTCTTCAACCACAAGGCTTCTTCGATCGCCTCGGTCATTGCCATATATTCTGTTTCAGCTGTTGAAAAAGCTACTGCATATTGTAATGTAGCTTTTCAACTAATAGCGCAACCACCATACATAGCCTGTTAGTGATCTTATTTTATCAAGATCACTTGCATAATTTGAGTCTACAAAACCAACTAAAGTTTTAGTATTTCTCCCAAACTCCAAACATGTGTTTGAAGTACCTTGCAAGTATCTGAGAATCCATTTCACAGCATGCCAATGTGTTTTACCAGGGTAAGCCATACCGGCTTACCACAACCGCTGCTTGTGAAATATCTGGATGTGTACGCATCATTGCATACATAAACAGTCGACTGTACTAAAATATGGTACCTGTGCCATATACCTCTCTTCTTCCTCTGACTGCGGTGACTGAATGCTGATAACTTAAAATGAGCAGCAAGAGAGGTACTCACTGGTTTAGTATCTTTCATACGTAACTTTTCCAAAACCCTCTCCAAGTACTTCTGGGTCAGGAATAGCCTGTTGGCTACTCGATCTCTTTTGATCTCCATGCCAAGGATTTTCTTAGCTATTCTCAAATCTTTCATTTCAAATTCACTTTTCAGCTGACCTTTCATATTGTGAATTTCTATCAAATTCTTAGCAACAATGAGCATGTCATCAACACATAACAATACGTACCCAAATAAACCATCAATTAGCTTCTGGAAGTAAACACAACTATCATACATGTTCCTCGAATAATCATGCCCTAATATAAATGAATCAAACCTCTTGTACCATATCCGTACAAGGATTTTTTCAACAAGCAAATATGATCTTCTTTTCATTCAGTTTTAAATCGTTCGGGTTGATGCATGTGTATTTGTTCCTCAAGTTTGCCATGTAAGAAAGCTGTCTTAACATCTAAGCTGTTTTAATTCCAAATCATACATGACAACTAAGGCAAGCAAGACACAGGTAGAACTATGTTTAACAACAGGTGAGAAATATCATTAAAATCAACTCCTTATACCTGACGATAGCCCTTTGCAACTAATCATGCCTTATACCTTGCATCTTTAACACCTGAAATGCGTTCCTTTTTCTTGAAGAACGTTGGTATCAAAGCCGGATCTAACATGATTAGTTTCAGTGGCCAATACGACTCTACCAAAGACTTATGTTGAGAAATTTGGCCGAAGTGCACTTCGGAATATAGCAATTAAGATGGAAGCTATCCTAATTCAGGATGACCTAGATTTGCACTATAAGAAAAGAAGAAGAACCCCGATAAAATGACGGATGAGGAGTTTTTCATCATAGACAAAGCTGCAAAATTAGGTATTATCTTGAATCTCTCAAATGGAGTTTTACGTTAAATTTCTGTCGAAACTATAGCCAAAGGCATGTGGGATAAATTAAAAACCCTGTATATAAATGGACAGTGTAAAATAGACTTGACCTGAGCAAAAGCTTTACACTTTTCGTATGGTTGAAGATATCTCTATGCTCTCACATCTTGATATATCTGAAACCAAAGATGAAAATCAAGCCGTATTATCCCAGTCATTTAAATCTCTTCTATTTGGGCACTCTAGAATCTCTTGGGTGCAAATACACAGGTGGTGCTACGTATATGTTACTTTTCATTGAGATTATTCAAGGAAAGTTTGGGTTTATTTCCTGAAAAATAAAAGTGATGTTTTCTTAACTTTCAAACAATGGAAAGTTTTGAGTAAGAAGCAAACACGAAAATAGGTTAAGCGGCTTAGAACAAATAATGACTTGGAATTTTGTAATGATGAATTCAACAAATTTTACAAGAATGAAGGAGTTGCTTGACATCGCACTGTGAGGATGACCCCTCAGCAAAATGGTGTAGTAGAAAGGATGAACAGAACTCTTTTGGAACAAGCTCGTTGCATGATATCAAATGCTGGGTTGACGAATGCCTTTTGGGCAGAGGCTATTTACAACTTGTTTTTTTGTCAATCATGCTCCTTCTGCACCTTTAAATTTTAAGACTCAAGAGAAAATGTTGTCAGATACTCTGCTAATTATTCTGATATAAAGATATTTAGTTGTTCTGCATACACGCATGTAAATGATGGAAAATTAGAGCTAAGGGCTAAAAGTGTATTTTTTTGGGGTATGCATCTAGGGTGAATCCTCTATGTTATCCTAGAAAAGAGTATTGTAGTTCATGTAATACACATAAAGGGAAGAGCACAAAAAAGCAAGTGGAGGTTGAGATTGGCATTCCTTTTGAGCCAAGCTCATCAACTTTCGAGCAAAATACAGTTGAAACTTCTGAAGTTTAGACTCTTGGAGTCGAACAAAAGAGACTCGTGTGTTTATTTTTCTTTTTTTGTATGCTTTTCTTTGGTAAGAAAAATTTATCTCTTATATGTTTAAATGACTGGGGTAAGGAAACAAGCAATAACACAACTTGATCTTCATTTTTGATTTCAGCATCTATATTACTCAACGTCTCAAACCCATAAGAAGGAAATCAAATATATCAAGATGTGAGAGTATAGAGGTATATTTAGCCATACGAAAAATGTAAGGCTTTTGCTTCAGGTAAAGTATGTTTTCCACTTTCCTTTTCATATACAGGGTTTTTAATTTATCCCATATGCCTTTGGCTATGGTTTCTGCAGAAACTTCACGTAAAAGCTCAGTCGAGAGATTTAAGATAATTCCTAATTTTGTCTTTTTCTCTATGACGACAAACTCTTCGTCCATTATTTTATCCGGCTTCTTCTCCTTTCCTTGTAGTGCCAAATGTAGGCCATCCTGAATTAGGATAACTTCCATCTTTAACTGTCACATTCCGAAGTTTGCACTTCGGTCAAATTTCTCAACATAAGTCTTTGTTAGAGTCATATTCGCTATTGAAACTGATCTGGTTAGATCCAGTTCTGATTTCAATACTCTTCAAGAAAAAGGAAGGCATTCTAGGGGTTGAAGATGCAAGGTATAAGGCACGATTAGTTGCAAAGGGCTATAGTCAGGTACAAGGAGTTGATTTTAATGATATTTTCTCTCCTGTTGTTAAACATAGTTCTATTTGTGTTTTGCCTACCCTAGTTGCCATGTAAGATTTGGAATTAGAACAACGTGATGTTAAAACAACTTTTTTACATGGAGAACTTGAGGAACAAATATACATGCATCAACCCGAAGGATTTAAAATTGAAGGAAAAGAAGATTATGTTTGCTTCTTTGAAAAAATCCTTGTACGAATTAAAACAGTCTCCAAGACAATGGTACAAGAGGTTTGATTCTTTTTATGTTGGGCCATGGTTATTCGAGGAGCATGTATGCTAGTTGTGTTTACTTCCGGAAGTTAAATGATGGTCATCTTTGTACTTATTGTTATATGTTGATGACATGCTCGTTGCTGCTAAGGATTTGACAGAAATTCACAATTTAAAAGGTCAGCTGAAAAGTGAATTTGAGATGAAAGATTTGGGAACAGCTAAGAAAATCCTTCGCATGGAGATCAAAAGAGATCAAGGAGTCGACAGGCTAATCCTGACCCAGAAGTACTTGAAGAGGTTTGCATGAAAGATGCTAAACCAATGAGTACCCTCATTTTAAGTTATCAGCGCTCAGTCACCACAGTCTGAGTAAGAAGAGAGGTATATGGCACATGTATTATATTCTAGTGCAGTCGACAATATTATGTATACAATGGTGCGTACACGTCGAGATAGTCCACAAGCAGTGAGTGTAGTAAGCCGGTATAATGGCTTGCCCTGGTAAAACACATTGGCAGCTTGTGAAATGGATTCTCAGATACTTGCAAGGTACTTCAACCACATGTTTGGAGTTTGGGAGAAATACTAATACTTTGGTTGGTTTTGTACACTTTGATTATGCAGGTGATCTTGACAAAAGAATATCACTCACATGCTACATATTTTGTATTGGTGGTTGCGCTATCAGTTGGAAAGCTACATTACAACATGTAGTAGTTTTATCAACTACTGAAACAGTATATGCAGCGATGACCGAGTCGATCAAAGAAGCCTATGGTTGAAGGGTCTATTCGCCTTAACTCAGTTTACGCCAAGGTGGGATTACCATTTTTTGTGATAGCCAAAGTATCATTCAATTGACTAAAGATTAGGTGTATCATGAGAGGACGAAGCATATTTATATCAAGTATCACTTCATCCGAGAAACCATTGTTGATGGAAAGGTCTCTGTTCAGAAGATCTGACATGTTCACAACGCCTCTTCCTGTTGGCAAGTGAACTTGGTTGGCATTTATGAAGAATGATTTAGCCCACAAGAGCTTTTGCGGAGAAGTGAGCAAATCTACTTTATCAGCCAAAACAAGACCAAGTGGAGATTTGTAATGTGGCCATATCTTTTGGCTATGTTTGTGGGGTTACATTTTATTTGTATAGACATATGCCTATTTTACAATATTAGAGCAAAGAAAGAATTTGATTGGAGGAGAATAATATCTTCTGTTGTAGCAAACTTGGAGCCAACGTTCTTTTCTCCTATAAAAGGAGATCAATTCTTCCTTTTCAAAATACACCAATTCAAGAGCCTTTTATTCTCTTGTCTTTCTTTCTCTTCATTTATTGTAGAGTATTTTGTAAGCTAGTGGGTGTTGGGAAACACTTGTGTGACCCTTTCTTTGGAGTGGTCTTGTGAGGTTATTCTCTTGGGCTATTTAATTTGGGATTAGTTAGAGTATTTACTTTAATTTTGTACTCTTGTTGGTATCATGAAATCGCTCCTCTCCGCTTGTGGACGTAGGTCACCTTGACCGAACTACGTTAAATTTTTGCTTCCTTTATATGTTTTATTTGCCGTTGTTATCAACTAGCACTGTCTTTGTTATTGTTATTATAACGTTTTAAATTCCGCACTATCCAAATGCCCGACCCTAACACAGTTTATTTTATATCTATTGTGCTCACATCAAGGTCTCTCGATGTAGAAAGATTGCAAATTTTATATCTAATTTGGGACGAGAGAGTCTGTTTTGTGCTGAATGAAATGACTGCTAATACTTTGTTTAAAAGGGTTACTGCAATGGCTCTGGTTTGGCAATACGGGGAGAAGTCTGGGAATGCTTCTTGGAAGGGACTCTCTTGGGGCATGGTGAGTACTGTTTATTTTTAGAGTTGCGTAAATTGGTTCATAATATGCATAAAGTCTTGATTTTGGTTAACTTTTGTGCTTTAAGTTTCTCTGCTCTGGAATGTTGTGTTTAACCATTAATTGGCCAATGAGGCGTGCCTCAAACACTTAGGCCAAGGTGTTGTAACCAAAAGAGTCACAGGTTCAACTCTCGCCACCAAAAAGTCTGGCTCTTTTCTAATTTATGTTACTTACCCACTATATGGGTGTTATTGTTTGAAATTTGATTTATTTAAGAGACTATTTGTGGATCATTGTTACAATTGTCAATGGTGTACATGTATTCATTGATATTCATGTGTTTTTTCTCAATATAGATAGACTATATTCTGTACAGGCATAACAGATGGTGGGTGTTTAAATGTTCCTGATTGTTATATCAAAACCGTCTCAATCTGTGGCTCATTAGTATGCAACGAAATCAGCAGGTTAGAAGACTAGAGGCCTTGTACGTTTTTATGTGATCACTATAGAATGAGTTGAAAAAGAAGTATCAAATACATGCATCGCAGGAGATGTAACTCTTGTAAAAGTCAGCCTCTCAATTGGAGAATGTGGTGGCAGGGGGAGATTTGTTTTAAAAAAAAAAATGGCCTCTCACGCGCCTGGAGTAGGTGTGGTACACTCGTGTGCCATATGTCAGCAACGTGTGTCTAATAGGCATAATCTAAGCATGGATCAGGTGTTCAGTAGGTCTTAGCCTTAGTTTAGATATCTATATGAAACTTTTGACAAGTTTGAGGGGCCAGTTATGTATTCTGCCTTAGCCATTTGTATCTTAAGCTGTTGCTTTGCACCAAAATCACTTCATACTCCAAATTCCCACAATCAATAAAGTAAATACATATCTATCTCGGCATCGTGCAGATGTTGTTCCCTAAAAGTTAAGTGGATACAAATATTGATAGAATGTGATGTTGTGGTCTAAAGAAAGTCTATGAGGCAGAGATATGACTAGGTAGGTTAAGAGAGGTAGTTCTTTGAGGGTATTGGGAAGGATTGGGGGTTCATTGAGTTGAGGAAAGAGTCCTAGAGAGGGTTGGTATTTGAAATGATCACATTTTTGCTCCATTCATGGTGAAACTTCTTGCATGTTTGTCAAAACACAAGAACTATCACTCATTTTCCTAAATGTTTCAATATAATTAAAGAGGCTAGGTGAGGCCATTCATATGCTCTTTGAGCAGCTAATTGATATTTCAGAAATAAAGGTCTATACTACGAAATTTTTGCAACAAGAAAGTGTAGGAGTCACATTTTTCTCTTTCCACTTCTAAGTTAGGTATCTGCTCAGTCATGACTACAGTGGAAAAAAGGAAATTAAGCTTCTCTATCACTTCTTAACTTTAATCCTTAATGTGAAAAACAAATTTCTCGAACTCATGCTGTTTAACATGACATTTGTCAAGTAGGAACAATTTTGTATGAAGCAGATAACTGCTTAGTCAATTTGTTATGAACCAGATAACTGCTTAGTCAAATTTTTTAACCTGGATTAGCATCTTTCATGCTTCTCTTTTCAAGAATTTTTGGAAACTTCTTCGAAATTGATATTGCTGAAATCAACTGAAGTTAATAAAATTTTCAAGCACGGGAAGGTTTTGTCAAAGCACAACCCTATTGCAGCTTTGCTGCTACGGATACAAATATTTCTCACTCTTGATATGTAGGACACGAGGAAGTGATTACAGGAACCTGAGACTGTGTCTTGATGCATGTTAGTTCCTTTAGTAAAAATTTGGATTATCTCCATAAAGTAATTAGGAGTGTTGCACTGTAGACAAATTGCGACAAAATGAAGTTCTAACAGTTGCTTAAGGAGGTGTAGGTAAGGTAGTTCACAGTCAATATGTTTGTGTCATGAAAAAAGTGTCAATTAGGTAACTCTTGAAACTGAACTTCCCATGTTAATGTGTAATTAATTTAAAATTTGAATAAAAGAAGAGAAATATACCTATAAAGCAATTTGATTCACTAAAGTGATGGATGGCTTATTTTAAATTCCCAAACTACACTGTCCGAGGGAATTTATAATTACTGGTGATCCAGCCGGCGCTGCGAACAGCTCCATGTTTGTACTGTAAACTTAAGAGAATTAATATCACAACTGACATGTGACTGCTGTTGTATAAGCTAAGGGGAATGGGTTCTAAACACAATACATCTTATATCCCCTTATTCATAGAGCTGAGCAGATAGATTAAGAGTTTAAGCTTTTAGATTAGTGGTCACACGACTTAACACCCTTATTCGTTTTCTCCTTTGGGAGAAATGATTTTCGAGTCTTCGTTAAAAGGTTACCACGTGCTATGGTATTGGTTTCTCTTCTTCTTTCCAGCGTTTTCTCCCCAACCATATACTGTCTTTTCCCTCTTGTTGGCTCTTTAGCGGCTTATGACTACAACTCTCTGGTGTAGGTGCCCCTGCTAGGTGGAGCATTTTGTGCCTGCACTTGGCATTTCTTTTACAACTCAGAGTCCCTTGAGGTAAGTATATCGATTTGTTTATTTACTTATTAACAGGAAATTTCTACCATATGCAAAGTCTTACGAGGAATAAAAAGGTATAGTGGATAAAGAGAAAGTTGGCTTTTCCTGAAGGTTTTTTTTTTCGGGGTGGGG